GCATAAGTCGTGAGTGGCCCATCATCACAAAGTAGACCTTAGGGAAAGTCATCCACGCTACCAATATTGTTTCCGCAAACTCGATCAACAGGTTTAAAGACGCCTTTTCATCACTAGGATTTGACAAAAACGTCGGCCCACTTCGTTAAGTATGATGAATAGTACGAGTAAACTTTATCTTTCCTCATTTGCAGAAAATAAAGGACGTTTATCTTACGCTTAGCTTCTGTATGGACGTCTTACGAAAAAATCGCATGAATGGGATTGTGTGGCTCGTTAGAAAAAAATCTAGCTGAAAGGTTTTGATGAATGCCGTGAACCGCAAATCGCTCAAGATAAAAATATTCATGTATAATAAATAGAGGGGCTAAACAACAATAAAAACTCGTTGCTTTCGAGAGAACGTTGGACGCCGACCATTACTTTCAGTAATAATTACAAGCATCTTCGTATGAATCAACATGAAGACTTTTTAACACCACCGACGTATTTTTTTCGTTTCGACCTTGACATTACTAAGTGTGAGGGTACTGGCTACCTTGACGTTGCGCCTCAGTACGCAGTAAAGATGCTACACGTAAAATAACGTTTTGATTAGTGCTGGAAACCACGCTAGAGGAAAGTATATATGGGGCATTCAATGAAAACTAAAGCGGCCTCACTGTCGTGGTCAGCACGCGAGTGCAATACCACCTCCTGCTAAAAGGCTTGTTCCTCCTGGCTTGTGCAAAATCTGCTCCAAGAGCTTTGGTTTCCTGGGTACTAGTCGCATGTTCTGCGATATCTGCAAAGAGCAGATATGCTCACGTTGCCGTAACCAAGATAATTGCAATTTTCACACCAAATCAGGCCTCCGTGACGGAGAAAAAGCGCATATTCTGTGTACAGTGCATTAACGACGTCACGAATACCGACGCTGTACGAATCGCACGCGAAGAAATCCTCAATATCCGTCAAGTTGAAGCAGTGCACCCAGGATTGTATGAGTTACTCGGGTTTTGTAAGTGTAATGTTGAAGGTTCGTTTTCCTAAAAAAAAACAGCAAGTAAATTTGCATGCTTAAATGAAAGAATAAAATGGTAGCGACGACGGCTTAAAAATGTCAATCGGGTGAGCTTCTTGGCTTTCAGCGAAGTCCACGAAATGCATCATGTCGTTCATACTCTGGTGGAATTCTCGGATGGGCTCCACTAGCTCTGTCTCGCTTGTGAATGGCTCTGACTGGTAAAAATGCAGAGCCGATGCATTTACAGGCACTTGTCGTGCAAACCACGAGTAGAGATACGCCATCTTAGGCACAGTCTCGCTCGGAACCGCGTAGTCGAGTGGATCCACCTCCTCTCCTTTCTTGGTCGGGAGTGGCTTGATATAGAGTGCGGAGCCATGGAATGGAGGAGCGATGCTGTGCCAGGATGCATGTCCGTTCATAAAGTGATGCTTGATGGCGTTCTCAAAGATGAAGTGTGTTAACACTCGCACAAGATCGTCGTAGCCTGTGAATGCGGACGGGAAGCCGTGGATGTGCTCAAGTTGGGAACTCCGGGCGGGTAGTCCTTCAGGTTCAGACTCAGCGGCCGAAGATGCTCGTCGTTCTGCCAAAGCGAGAAGCCGTCATGCGGCAATCTTCGGCTCTGACGATGATATGAGTGATGAGTCCTTGCCGCCGCGTAATCGCCACTCCTCCCGACATTCATTGATGGATTCTGGTGACGGGACGACTTCTACCTTTGCGTCGGCTTATGGGAAGCAGCAGCGTCGCAAGCGTCGTGCCTCGTCGAGTGCTACCGGTCACAGGTCGAAGCGGTCCAAGAAGCACAAGAGGCACAAGAAGCATCACAAGCATCGGCAGCCTCCGTCAACTTCTGATCCGGCTTCTGCCCAATCCATCCCGGCTGCTCCTTCGCCAAGTATGCTCCCGGTAGTGTGGATTCCCTCTCAGCCGAGTTCGACTGCATCACGTCCGGCTTCGGTCACTCTGTCCAGCGCTCTAACACTCCCGCTGGCTACGTTACGGACCCGGGCCTCGCAAGCAGTTTCCAAGGATTGTCGCTTGACTCTTCACATGGCTCAACTCCGCCAGGTACCATTTATGCATTTCGGCTCAGCCCGTTGTTGGAATGCGTTATTGGATACACTGAGCGGAGGGGTGCAGCTGGAGCTCGTAGGAGGCAAGAGTCGTGTGCCACCTACGCCGTGTTCTCTAGACGGCATCCGAGCTTTCATAGCTGTTTTTAATCCGTGTCATCCTTGTCAGCGTCTTAGGCGGATGCTCCCTGAGCTTCCTTTCTTATTTTCTCCGTCGATACTGGAGGAAGCTCGGCGGTGCTTGGCTTCTCAGACTCGACCTCGAACTTTGATGCAAGTTCTGGGAGATATGGTGAAGCTTCGTGGCGACAGTCCTTTGGACTCGGCGGGGAGGCCCATCAAGACAGATGGCCAAATGACCCGTTATTTTGTAGCTCTCTAGGAGCGTCGTCATTGGATCGTCGAGTCAAGTGTGTTGATGGGTCTCCATCCTGACGTCAACCCGGCTGCCACGCCCGCTCAGCTTGCTGAGGTGTATGAGCTGTGTCTGGTGTACAAGCGCGAGCGCAAACGTCGTAGTGATACCCTACTATCCTTGGTTGTCGCTGTCTACGACCAGCTTTACTCGGCGGTCACTCAGAAGCTCGGCGATGAACCTGCTCCTCTTGTGGACGCTGAGGTTTATTTCGATCCGTCCATCCCCCATTACTCTCCCGTCAACCTTTCGTGGGTTCCATCCGGGAGAGACTGGGTTCAATGTGCTCACGATGTGGATCTAGCCGAGCCCTGGCGAGCTTGGTGGCTAGCTGACCCGGCGGTTCACCCGTATAACACATGCTTCCGCGCTCGGAACGTGGACTTCTTGGTTTTCGCTCCGCGCGGTATGGATCCTCAGGTTGTTGACGACGCGATTGAAGAAGACTTCGATCTTGCCGAACAAGTGCCTCCTGCATACGCTCAGGGTGCTCCACCGCGGCTAAATCGTCAAGGTATCCACATCTTCGCTGGGTCTCAATCGGTGAACTCGGCTCGGATGATGAGAGTGCGTCTGATGACGACTCGGCGGACGACGGGTTGGGTTCTCCCAATCTCCGAGGCGCGTCTCCGAGTATGTCTCTGTTCGGCACTCCACTCCATAGTGGAACGGATCCGCCTCAACACACTTCAGCCGAGTCGGGCCCTGAGGCACCGGTTCTTCTTCCACCTGGTTCGGCATCAGTCTCGTTGGCTAGCTCGGCGATGATACTTCTTGCCACGGCTGCGGATGTTGCATCTCCTCCGCAGTTTTCCAAGGGGCGACGTCTGTTACGACGCCACACCTCCAATCGTCGAGTCCGCTGAGCTCTTCCCAGTTGTCTCCGTCGGGTTCAACTCACTTGGAGTTCGGATCGCCAACATTTTAATTTCTTCTTTGACTGCGCGTCC